ATTGACTTTGCTTGTGGGGAGCTGGCAGGGAAGGTCACAAATGATGTGACCGTAGGATGCTGCAACTGTTGTAAGTGCAAGCTGGTTGCTGAGTGCCTGAATTGTGATCATGTGACCTCAGGGGTGTTGGGATGGCTCCAACTTCAAGGACTGGTCATAAATTCCCCTCATTCAGCTGTCATAACTTTGAATGGTGCTGAACAAGTGGTCATAACCCGAGGATTATCTGTAGTTCATCCCAGAGCAGTGTTTTCCAACCTTGACAGTCCAATTCAGATATGTGGGTTTCAACTAGCAGAATCCTCACTGGTGGCCATACTGGCTGGGGAATTCAGACAGTTGAAGACCATGCATCTGGAGGTTGCCAAGGTTGGCCAGTGCTGTTCTAGAGACACACAAGTAGGTGGGCTAAATGTCATGTATTGCGCAGCCTAAGAAAAATGGCCAGTGGAAATCTTTATAGCATCTGTACTGGCCTCTATTTGGCTTTGATAAAGTGGGAGATTCCACGCTACAGATTGGGGACTCCTAATTTTCCCTTGGGATAAAGTCCCAAATCTGAATTTTGAAGGAGCAAAAGAATTGATCCTCAGATGTAAAGTCAAATTTGCCACCGCATGGCATAATTTATTGTGCATCTACATTTAATAGCTTTGGAACCCTATCTGTCTTGCGTAGATTTTTAAGTTTCATTTTATCTCCAATTACCCACGCAGTGCCTAGAAGTGCAGCTTCCGATATTTACATCTTCCTTCATCCCTGTTATGAAGCTGCATTTTCTTTTGCTCTGGTGATCACATCTTAGCTGTTTGCTTAGTCCAGATCTTTAAAAAAAAAAAAAAATACTGGGGATGGTATCAGAGAAGGGAACTTTCAACTACGATTTAGTTCTGAAGCATAGGTGTCTAGTTTGGCCCTTAGAAGTATTGGGGACTATATTTTCCTACTGGTTTAGTTAGGTTTTGTTTGTGGCTAGTACATTTTCTGAATGTCACAAGATTGTCCCTGAGTTCTAATAATAACTTTCTGAGTTAACATATCTTGATTCACAAACGTAGTTCTCTGAGTTGTTCTTGGTCAATGGTAACAAGTAATGTTCCACGATTCCTGGAAAAACTGAACAGTTGCATAAATAAACCTCTTCCATTGGCAAATTAATTTAAAGAGAGGGGAGTTATAAACTTTACATAGGTATCAAGGAGCAGAATCTTAAAATAAATTAGCCACCCAGATTTGCTTTGTGTGAGATGGGTGGCTATATAAATGTGACAAATAAATAAAAACAATCAGTTTGTAGATAGGTTTCTATGTGGCTAACTATGCTGGAAGTTTTCCAGCTTCCCTGAAAGTAGTTTTCATTAGTTGTTCTCTCTTATTATAGAACAGCTTTTGTGAATATCTGGAAATAAAATGCCTGAATTGCTTTAGGGATAATTCATGCCTCCTTGGTTTTTGTTTGTTGTCAGAATAATACTCTTAATGAATGCAAGAAGGGAATTTGATGTTCTCTAGCACTACTGTTGGAACCTGCATCACCCAACTGTTGTTGTTTTCCATTATATTGCATTCGTTGGGAGTTGGAGTGATTTGTTCCCGCCACTTGTAGCTAAGGAGGGGGGGGGTTGCTGTTAATGGTTGTAATGGGAGCTGGGAAGCAGCTTAACCATATATGGGCAATTTAGACTGGCTTGATTGTT